CATGGATCTGGTCATGATGGTTGTCACAATAGGAAATGAATGAAAATAAAGAGTAAAAGATGTAAAAGGGGTTGGGGGGGCGGGGAGTAAGTTGCATTAAAAAGTACACATTTGATCTAAATTTGTATGCATGAGAGATCAAAAGGGAGAACTATGTTTAGTGTATGGTTTGGGGCTTTATTTTATTTTATATAATTGGTGCTAGGCACACATATACTATGGCAATCAGTGGAGTATAAATACTTAAACAGATTACAGGGACATATGTTAGCAAACACATGTTATTTATGGTGTGTTTCGGTCTAGATTGCATTGTACAAAATAGGAAGTCTTCACTGTTAAGTAATTCAGGCAGAGCATTGGATGACCAAATGACAATCTGTCCACCTAGCATCAGAGTTATCCCTTTGGCCTTGATTATAAAGTTTTCTCTAGTGAATAAAGTTGAAAAGGCTTCATAGAGCAAGTGTATTTTAAATAGTTTTGAATGTACATAGCCTGAACCATGCATCCAATTTGCTTTATAGTTTGCAAAACTACTAGTTTCTTCATTGAAATGCTTCCCAGAATCTACCTCATGTTGATGCCTATACAGGAATTACCCCACTAAGGACACTGAAATTTAAGAATTACCGTACTTGGGAAGTACTTCTCATGATTTGGTCCCCTACTGCTGCCAGGATCCAGAACCTGTTATTTTAACAAAAAAAAACTGTGCCAAAAAGCCCTATGGAAGCAGTTATAACAGCTGTGCCCAGGAATGATTCAGAAGTACATGAAGAAAATCTTACATTCTGCACCTTTACTCCACTGTAGGTTAATTTTCCCTTCTGCTGGGACTGATAATTTTGGGATAAAGGCTTCACCTTAATAACTAATGCCAAACATAAGTAGATAAAAAAAACAAAAAATACAACAGAAATGGTGAATGCAAAGGTTACTGCTAAATGACAGGTAGGTGCACAGGAACTGAGAACTCCAGCAGGAAACTGAACAAGGTTTGAAGGACAGCACAAGAAATCAGAATGTACTTCTATATGTATCATAATGACCAGTAATAACCGCTAATCTTTAAACAGATGGATGGAAAGAGAAGAATGCACAATATCTCATAAAGGATGATGCAACAAAATTTGGCAGAATTGGAAAACAAAAAAGTGATAAAGAAAAATGTTGAGCAATATGCAGGCAGAAAGAAGGGCTTGATGGAAAACAAAGTAAGGAGTTGACTTTTCTCTCTGTTCCATTGCAGATGGCAGCAAGAAGGCCAGAATGAGATTTCAGTGAGACAGTTATAAATGTGCATCTGAGCAGAAAGGGAGAGGTATATGTGGGAATCATCAGCATAAAACTAATAGCTGAATATATTAGAAGTGAAGTAGTTTCATTTACTGAAATGATTTCATTGTGGAATAAAATGTACTACCCATGTTTATTTCAATGTATGATATGAAATTCAAATTTCCTTTTACATATGTATGCAATCAGATAGTCTTAAATGAAGCTGTATTTGTCATCTCAGCATGTTGAGTTTTACATACAGTATAGTACCTGCCTAACAGAAAGAAAAAAAAAAAGAGGATGTTCAAGTACTTACAGCTCCTCTCAGTAACTCTTGGACAGTTTTGTTTAAATTAATTTTCAAAGCGTCTTTAATATTTCCAAGGGCTAATCTGACATTTTAAGAATAAACCAAATTTTGTGTTCCCATTGTATCAAATATCAGTACTAACAAATTAATATTCCCTGTGGTTGGTTAAAGATTTTTCATTAACAGTATTTATAGATTGTTCTTTTAATATAAACCGTTCAAAACCCAGACAATAATCTCATTTTTTCCCCGGTGTTATGATCCAACTTTAAGATCCCATACTTAGGACTTGGAAGTGTTACCAGGGGCTATGGTTTAAATACAGGGCACTTATACAAGTTAAATTTTCCACATGATTGGGCCCCTACCATGATATCTGCGTGGCTGCAAAGCACTTTTAAAGTGGCTAATTGCATGAAAAATTAATCGTCTTCAAATGAGGTATTAGTTGAAGGCACTCTGCTTTAGAGTGCCTTTGGGAACTTGTGTTCCCTAGGGGTAAGTTTTCATGTGTTGGGCTGGTCTGATGCAGGGAGAGGAGGGAGGCGGAGGGAGGGAGCATCTCCGAGCTGCTGGTTGGTGTTTGCTCTTCAGTCTGAGCTGGAGGTGGAGGTGGAGGTAGAGGTAGAACAGAGCCCTTTCACCTATCGGATCCAGCCCGGCTCTCCCCAGTATCCCATCCAGGGTACCTGGGGGGAGCCCACAAGGCAGGGGGGCTCTGTTCCACCCCCTCTCTCCAACTCAGGCAGGGCAGCAAACCTCAGCCAGCAGCTTGGAGCTGCTCTTTCCCTCCCTCTCCCTTTCCCCTTCCCACTGACAGCCCTGGAACTGGGGGTGGGGGAGGGGGGGGCACGGAGGGAGTGGGGCTGGGGAGAGGGGTGCTGTAGGCAGGCTCAATCCCACTGGCCAGGAGGGCAGGTTCAATCTCCCCTGAACCAACAGGAAAACAACTATTGCATTGGGGCAGGGGGAAGGGGGAGGCACTCTAACTCACAGCAGTTTATGTAAAGCGCCATGAGGTAGAGTGGGGGTATGGATGTCTGAATGTCTGTCTGTGCCCAAAATGCTTTAGTAGTTTCCTTTTTACCCTAAGAAAACACTTTCCTAAAAATAACAACCCCTGATATCCCCCTTCATCAGTAAAAGTTCATGGTTACTCCCTTTCAACATGCCCTTCAATTGGAAGTAAAGCATAACTCATCTATCTGCTAATATAAAAATTTGCAGACATCAACTCCAGCTATCTCCACCCTGGGCATCCCAAGAATAGACTCAAATGATCTTGGAACGTGAGCTGATAGCCTCTGCATAGTAGTGCAGTGTGTTAAAAATGGGCTACTACAACAGATGTATTCTTTTTTTAATAAACATTCAGAAAACCAATATATAATCAACACTGCCAGATGCAGTCTGCCATTTCTGAGCCAGGTAGCATCCAAAAATATCTCTAGTACAAGTTGTACATATAAATAAAGTGCTGTGATTATCACTGTTCCTTTTTGTTGTCTTTCAGTCTTTCATATAGCACTCCACAGCAGATCACAATTATTGATATGTTCGAGTTTAATTTCTGAATTATAGCCTAGTCTATGCTGCTTCTTACTGACTTTCCTGACCATCTAAGTTAGCTAAAACAGGAAACCCAAAACAAAAGCATAATCCGCCATTCCGTCCTTGCTGCTTCCACACCAATTTGTCAGGTTTTAATTTGGTGTCATTTCTACTGTGTTCAAATTCATGAAAAACCCTAAAATTAGAGGCACCAAAAGGATACAGGAAGGCAAACTTAAAACCATCTTTGGATATTAAAATATAAAGGCCCAAGTACTAATAGAAGTCCTATATCTTTGGAAGTGAATTAAATGCACAGTGGAAGAATATAAAGGTGGTTAGCGAAGTTATTCTGAAGCTAGCTAAGAAGGCAGTGCATAGCTGCACCTTAGGGACTAACTAATTCAGAGAGGCATGAGCTTTCATTTGCAACAGCCTACTTCATCAGATTCTTTGTTCTAGCATCTGATGAAACAGGTTTGTTGCCTACATAAGCTCATGCCTCTCAACTAGTTAGTCCCCAAAGTGCCACCCTGTGCTACCTTCTGCCTAAATGGAAGGGGATATGTTCAAGCTAGTGCACCAATCAGAATAAGACAAATTTATTTCCATATAACTTAGGTCTCTAATTACAGCTAGAATGGTAACTAGGATTGAAAATATAGATAGTCCACAGAGGGATTTCTCTTAAGAAATGGTCTGTCAGACTGAAATAACAGAGGGAACATCAAGCTAACGATTCTGAAGCAACCAATGTGAAGCAACAGATGTAAATCAACAGAGCTTCAAAGTGTACTTAGACCTATAGCCATTTTAAACACAAACTGGCAGTTGAATAAAAATAATCTTTTAAAATCTAATCTGTTTTTCACCATCTGGACTATTTGTTTACTTTCCTTATCTCACTCAGCAGAGGCAAGGAATACAGGCTAGTTTGTTTCATTTTTATTACTCAGTCAATTTCTATATCAGTTTATCTTTCTGGTTCACCTAGATCTGAAAAACACTATGGTGTCTGGCTTAGAAACACAGAAACAGAATATGAAAAAAGGAAGGAAAGGATGGCGGGCAAGCAGGAAAACATTCACCTTTTTTTTTCTTCTTCTTGTTCACACTGTGGTAGTGCTTGGAGTTCCAGTCATAGAGACAAAATCTTGCCGTGATGGCCACAATACAAAAAAGTGTTACTTCACACAAAACAAAAATAAAAAAGTTCCCCTAAACAAAAGGGGTACAGACATTCCAAAAGCCTGAAGCAGAATCGATCTAAGTTACGTGGTTTTCTGTAAGTGGCGTAGTTTAGACTTGTAGCGAACAGACCACATATTTGCCCTTTGGTGGGGAGGGCAAATCTTAGACCAAGTTCCACCACTTTTAATCCAGTCTGTGGGTGTGTCTACATGTTCATTACTGTGCAGTACTCGCTTAATGAAGTACTAACTTAATGCACAGTAGGTACAGTTACTGCACAGTAGTGCCGGTGCACGTTTTTTTTAGTGATGCTTATTGTACAGTGGTCTAATATTAGTGTGCGGTAGTGTATTAGCACAGCTTTTGCCCAGCACGCTACTGTACAGTGTTATTACTGTGAATTAAGGATCTCATGTAGACGTGTTCATTGTGTGCCAAACTTCTGTTCTGTTATGGGTAAGTGATCGGAAACCGATCTATACATCAGTAAAAGTGTTATATCTGTACCTGACCTCAGCCTCTTAGCCTGCTTGCAACACTCCTAACAGCTATCCATTTTCTGGCAATACCTTATCAAGTGTGTAAGGCAATATCTGATAAAGTCAGCATCGTAAATTTTAACTGGTTTGTGCCCCATAGAGAAAAATTGATGTGTGAAAGTACTCACCTCTGTTATATGTGGGTTGGGATTAAAGCCACACAGGCTGCAGACTACGGTTTGACACTGTGTGCACGTGTTGTAATTGGCTTTCTCTGGAATGTGCAGCAGCAGTTCAGTAGTAGTGCAAAGAGGACAGAAGCTTTTCTTTGGGGCAGATTCAGCAGGCTGGGCTGCAGTTGCTTGTTTTTGTGGCAAAGGTTTTGCAGGCCCTGGCTGCTGGCCTGGTGGTCTTGTAGGTCCAAGTTGCTGTAACGGTGCCTTTCCTGGCTGTTGCGATGGTGGCTTTGAAGGTCCCATCTGCTGTGGTGGTTGTTTCTTAGGTTCTGTTTGCTGAGGAAATGACTTCCCAGATCCAGGCTGCTGCAAGGGTTGTTTTGTAGGTCCTGTCGCCTGAGGAGATGGCTTTGCAGGTGCAGGTTGCTGAGATGGTTGTTTAGCAGGCTCTGTTTGGTGAGGGGATGGCTTTGCAGCACCTGTTTGCTGTCCTGGTGGCTGAAATGCTTGCTTTCCAGGTCCTGGCTGCTGTGACAATGGCTTTGTGGGAGCAGGTACCTGGGATGACACTCTAGCAGCATCTGATTGCTGTGGTAATGGTTTGGTTGTGCCCAGTTGCTGCGGTGCAGGTTTTGCAGGGCTCTGCTGTTGAGAAGCTGGCAGCATGGGTTCCGATTGCTGGGTCTGAGATTTTGGTGGGCCTCGCAGTTGAGATGGAGGTTTTGCTTCTTCTGACTGACGGCCTGCTGGTTGAACAGGCCCTGGTTTTTGAGCTTGCTTAACTGCCCCAGGTTGCTGCTGTTGAGGTGCTGGTTTGGAAGGCCCTACTTGCTGGGGTATTGGTTTGACAGGCCCATGTGCCTGAACCACTGGCTTTGGAGGTTGTTGCTGAGCGAGATGTTTTGCAGGTCCCTTTTGCTCCTCAAGCTTCCCTTGGTCTTTCTGAAAAACTTTTTGTTTCCTGTTGGCTTCTTCCTGTGCTGCATCTGACTCTGATATCAAATCAAAAGGATTGAACTTGTTTACAACCGATGTGACTGCACTTAATGGATTGGCCTCTGAGAGAAAGCTGGGCATCATACTTGGTTTCTGGTCTTCTTTAAAATCAGTCCTGGATTTTGATTCCCTCAGACTAGTAGAAGAAGGGCTCCTTCCAGGTAACCGTTGCTCTGTTTTCAATACATCTACTGTTCTACTTTTACTTAAAGTGGATGGCCCTGGATCTGGAGGCTTGCCTGCTTGTCTTGGATAGTGGTTTATATCAGGCTCAGGATGTCTGTGGAAGTAAAAACAAGAAAATAAATAAATAGATATAATGAAAGGCACTAATTTTGAATTAGTGCCAATTACTATTGAAAATGAATATACAAAAGATAAAGATAATGAAACTAAATTTTAAAAAACACATAAAACATACGTATGAGCCTATCCCAATTTACTTATTTTACTCATATGAATAACATTACTGTTACTCAGATGTTTAAATTAAATATTTGCAAGATCAGGACTTAAAAATATGGATCATCTTTTTTATTATTACCCCAGTAATCTTTACATGCTTATTTAGTCATGGTCTGTCTGATGAAGTATTTGGAAAATAATCTAACACAAGGATCATGTTTACTCAGAGCATTTTCTCATTGCAAGTCTGAAGCACTCCAAAAATAAGCTGTGACTTTCCATTTCATCTAAACCCAAATGACTAACTTGCCATGGTTATCCCTTGGGGTATTCTGTTCAAAGGTGGAGTCAAAGAAGAGAGAAAGAGAGAGAAGTGTTCCATGATTAGCAGATCAAAGCCCATTCATTCAAGGAAAGTACTTTACATGTTAGAAAATGTTTATGCAATTGCGCTCTGGCTAGCTATTCATGCCAACTTTTAAGGATTTATTTACAATTCAATCTTCAGCAGAGATTTTACCACCTAAAATACTGGAAGATCAAGACATAGATGTATCTTTTATTGTTTTATTTATTCTGACATTCATGAATTAAAAAAAAAGCTTCTATAAGATGAGGTGCATACTGGCTAAGAGAACCACTTCTTTGTAGCTGTCACTAAGCGCACTGTAACTATTCCCCGAAAAAAAATAGAGCTTGTTTGACAACACAAGATGCCTGTCTCAGTCTGCAGGTGTTCTCCCTTTGACCAGCCTCATTTTGCACTGCTCTTAATAAAGTGGATGAAACTAGAGAAAGAAGGAAGTGATGTCCAGAAAATATCTTTAGGTGTGTTATGGTGTTTGTTTGTTCCTGTACTGGGTTATAACTAGAGGTGATAATATTCTATGCAATGCTATTGTGCTTTAGCTAACAGGGTGTGATGTGATGTTATATTCAGTGCTATCATTGCACTTTTGCTGGAGGATGGTACATTTTTTTCCTGTGCAACTGTTGCAAGCATGCAGTTTTCAGCTTCAGCTTCACAGCATCGATTAAAAATAGCCCAGATTTCCAAATTTGCCATTTCTTATTTCAAGATAATGAAAAATAGGCAATCCTTCATAACTTTTAACATATTTTTAAAAAGCCTATACTCTAGGACTACAATAAATAAGTGGTTGAGCACAGATTTTTAATTAAGAGCTTCATCATAAGTTGGCAAGTTACAAAGAGGAGTAGCGTTTATTGGATTCCAAATACCTCACGCTACTTAAAGATCACTCCTGAACCGATTAATATTTTGAGCTTTCACTAAATTCATGGCAATAATAAATAAGCAATGCTAGAAAATGATAGAGCAACCATCTTGCTCTCAAAATTCTAGCAAATAGTGACTTTCTATTAGTTCTGAGACTAACTTTTTTTTTAAGTTTATTTCAAATATCGAAATGAGTCTCTGGGAAAGAAAGGCTGCCTATACATGTACTCAGTGGTGGGGAGGGCTGCATTTTAATTAGAGTAGTTCCTGAGCAGGGCCTTTAATTAAAATGCCTCACCATCACATTATTAAGCTCCTACCCATTTAAAAATGGCCACAGGATATTTTATCTAAACCTCATTTGACGAGGTTTAGTTAAAGCGTCCCACAGCTGTTTTAAAATGTGTGGAGGCTTAATACACATGAAGTTGTGGTGAAGATTAATCATGTCTACTCCAATGCATTCTAATTAGAATGCCAATGAGAATGTGTATAGGCAGGCTAAGCTCTCATAGGTAATACATCTAATATTGTATTGTCTATAGCAGGCCGCTTTCTATAATGTAACTTCTATAATAGTAAACATCTTACTATTTTTCCTCCCTGGTAGTGACTTTGAATAATGGGAGTTATGTACAGATATATAAAACTGAAGCCAACAGACTTTCCATTGGCTTTGCTTCTTCATCCTAGAAATCAGGTGCACAGTCAAACCCTAAAACTGATTTAACAAAATATAAGTTATTTTAAATTTTTAATATTAAGCTTTCCCTAGGTAGCAGGCAGGTCTATTTGCTCTCTACTATGTCATTTTGAGGTACTAAGTAGATACCTCCAAAAAACCTGTGCTGGTTTACTAACTTACATTAACTAACATTTGGGTCTATTTCAGGAATATATGCAAGAAACAGAATTTGAAAGCTTTGGTTCAACAGTACAAAAGGTTTAGAGAAAAACCAATGGTACATTCCTAAGTGATGGACATAACTATAGCTTAATGCTAATTCAGTGACCTAAAATGCAAAATCTTAAATGACTTGAGTAGAATTCAACAAAGATCAAGTCAGAAATTATAATGTCAGCTGCAATTCCCAATACACAGCAGCAAAAGATTTTTTTTTTTCAGATATGGGCTAAATACAGGGAAACACTTTGGGTCACAGAACTCATTTCTGATGTTCAGTATTCCAACATGTTGTGTCATCCAGAATACTATTCTTCTGTTCATACTTTAAGTATTTTTAACATAAGAATGAACTCCCTCCATACTGAGAATCTAGGATAAAAACTTCCTCACATTGCCAGACTTCATGCTTACTGCACAGACTGGACTTGTTTTGCCTATCTCCATAAACACGCAGCATTTATAGATGATGGAGACAGACTGTATCTAAACTGCAAAGAAACTGGTTTTACAGTACTTAAAATGTATTTAGGATTTTAACTTTTTCCTATGACCACATATGTTGCAATGGAGGAACTGCATCTTTTTAAAGGAGAATGGTTACTATAAAATAATGGTTTAAAGTGGTTAGTCTAAAAATACCCTTTTCTTCCTTCCTGTTATTGCTGAGACTCCTCCTTACTATGGCCCTGACTCAGCAAATAATTCAACTCTAATTACTTCATATGGTTACAGTGCTTTTATTATTGATACAACTGTACTTTGGATCAGATCATTAATGGTCTAAAAGTAAGAATAACAATATTTAAACCAAGCTGGTTTTGCCCTCAGTTAAAATGAATTATTTTAAGGAAATAAAACTTTTTTTTTTAATCAGTGATGCTTAGAGTTCTCTCTGTATGAAAAAAAGACATGCATACACACAAGCAGGTATCCCTGCCAATCTGTTTGAACTTAGTTAGACTCAGTATATTTATAACATTAACAACAGAGAGGATATTTTTAGGATAAATGCAATGCTTAAGATGTGTGCTGCCCAGAAATGGCTACGTTCATGACTCAAAATACAACAAGGGTTTTGCCAGTGACAGACTGTTGCTAAACCTATAAGAACACGCATAAAAATTAAAACCATCCAAAAACTGAATTGACAGTGTTTAATGTTCAGGTTTTTAATTTGATCAACTCATCCCCTCTCATTATAGGGCGCACACTCTCAACGAGTTTACATGCTACCATTGATATCAAATGGAGCTGTAACAACTGACACCAGAGTCTCTGGCTGAGTGTTTCATTCAAAGTTTTCACATGTGGATGACTGAAATTAAGGACCCATATAAAAGTGGCCTGATTTTCAGAGGTGCTGAATATCCAGATCTTCCATTAAGGCCAACATTACAGTTGTTCAACAATTCTTTAAAAAATCAGGTCAATTTATTTAGGTGACTCACTTTAAGCACTGATGCTTGCAAAAAAATGGTCTTAGTGCTTATAATAACATGTGAAAAGTCAGAATATGCATTAATTGCTTTTATACCAGCTTAGCTGCTGAATTTCCAAAGACTTGAAAGCATTAAGCCTCTAAAATTACATATAACTACACTACTTGCCAGTGACGGGGTAACTCTATATCCTATTACATGTGCTGCTCATTATTAAAAAGTCTGTGCTGCAAAATATTTGCCATGCAAAGGTTTGTGAGCTACCAGGTGTGCTTTTCTCCTTCCTTTCTTATGCACTTTAGGAGGAAATCATGTGGTATTTCAGATACCACTGTACAGTCGTAGTTGGTGAATGTTACAATGAAAAACACTGCATGCAGAAAAGCAAAAATCCAATCAACCAAACATACACCTCCAAAATAAACATAGCACACCCAAAGCTAGTATGTCAAGAACATGCTACCAATAGGATACTGCACATATACTGGGCCACATCCTTATCATATACTCTGATGATTGCTATTTGAATAATTGAAAAATTGGACTGGAACAACCAGATTATAAATAGATTTTGTGTTCTATCCTGTACTGGGAAATGGTGGAGCAAATTATTTAACTGGTCTTTTCCAAGTCAGGTTTCCTTGACTACATAGACTGAAGGGTTACACCTGGAAGCAACTACCCTCTAATGAGCAGAAAAGTTTGAATCTGGGGGATTTGAGTATCAGCATGCTTAGTATCAGCATGTGTTACTTAAGTTTCTCACTGAGGGGTTAACATATCATCTAGGCTCCGAGTAATCAGATTTTCCATCCTTCTTAGTAAATCCTAACAACAGTAAAGAAAAAGTAAAGCCAAACAGCATGAATGAATACATGTAGTAACCTTATTCAGGTATAAATAATGAGCACACAGATACAGTGATGCTGGATAACAATACAAAAAACTAAAATAAGCCAGACAATGAATTAACTTGTACCTTTTAGAATAAAAGAGCAAAATGGATTCTCAAAGTTTCAAGTTTTCCAAATATGGGTACAGAGGCTTTATGTTAATGAAGCATGAAAATGTGGCACCGCAATAACGCTGTAGAACAATAAGAGGTTTCTAAAGGGTTTCCAATTTCCAATAATATCATTTGAGGGAACCATGTATAGCTATAAAATGAGTATAATACATTTTACCCATCCCTAGAAATGGTTATCCTACTATGCCCCAGTAAGTTAACTTGAAGGGAATAAACTTTCAAACTATTTGCATGTCTGTCACAAAAGCTTGCAATTAAAGAATTTTTTTTTGTGCAAAAATCTAGGTGGTCTAATAAAAGCTATCACCTCTACTACAAGTCCTGATTGTCATACAATAGTGAATTTTGAGCTTGCCACCCTTGGAAACAGTAAATAATTCCACTGGTTTCTACAGAAGTGGGGCCAAGCTCTAAATAAACTGGAGGTGGACTTAGATTCCACACACAATTCATCATTTCTAATTAAAAAAAAAAACCCCACACATTCTTTTTTTATCCATGTTTAACAGTCACCCAAGAAGATAAAAGGTGACACCTCATTTTGGGGAAGAACAAGACAAATTCATCCTGGGTACCAGCCCAATAACTTCCGCGGAGTTCCGCCAAGGGGGAATTTGATCCAATCCTTCCTTTTTGCTCCTTCTGCTATACTGACAGAAGGCTGATCGCATATAAACTCAGTGGCATTTATCTGGAGCAG